TGAATCCTTTGAATATTATTATAGAAAATAAATTATTTTTATTTTAGTCATTATTTATAATGTTGTCAATGTAACAAAAAACATGTAAAATTATAAATGTTGGCAAATAATGAATTTAAATGAAAAGAATTGGAGGTAATTCACAGAAAAGGTGAAGGCTGACGCTTTAGTGTATTACACGTGCACACACATGCTACTACTAACAACACAAACCTGTGTGACATCACTGGAATACATTTGCTTTATGTTAGTCAGTCTGCTAGAATGAATGATTTGACTCGAGGTTTAGCAATGACATTACACAAATCTGAAAAGACGGGCTTCATGGAAAAACGATCTCATGTCTTTTACATTTCCTGCAACTAAATGCATGTAACACGTATGACTGTAGACTATATGTGAATATCACCACTTATTGTTCTGCTTTTGTCTGCAGGGCATCAGCGTGGTGGAGCAGGAGCAGCTGGACAACACGATGATCGAGATGGACGGCACAGAAAACAAATGTGAGTTGAAACCCGACAGGAGCAAATCGAGATGACTAACAGCACATCATCAGAGTCTAGCAGCCAGCTGGAAATCTCCCCGTTCCTGCAGCTCAGCATCCATTCGTGTGAAGTCACACACATTTTAAAAAACGCTTTGTGCCGAAGGTTTGTCACAGAGCGCTTCGCAGAGCGACGAGGGGCATAAATACAGATTGAGCAAAGAGATTTGTGTTGCAAACAAGCTTTGGCACGATCAATGCAAACTCACATCTTTAATAAATAAATGCAGTGCTCATTTAGTATAATTTAAAATCATGTTCAGGCAGCAGCGTGATCAGCCCTCAAAGTAATGTTGTTTGGGAGAAATTAATCTCCGCCAGCACGGAAACCTGTCAGACTGAACTGCAGCTGAATGTATCGGCTTTCTGTCCCTGCAACAACAAACATGGCTATACCCAAAGAGCCGTGGCATTTCACTTTGCTTTAGTTTTTACAGTTACACAAATTTAAACCCATTTTTTTAAATCTATGGTTAAAAAATAATGAGATAATCTTTTTAAATTAAAGCAAAAGATGAAAGAATTTAAAGCAACAACATATCGAGGAATAAATTGTGTTTTTCAAAAGAATCACAAAATGTAAGGTGGCGTGAAAAAAATGTCACTAAATAGAATCTGATTTGAATCTATATCAGAAATGCTAAAGTTTGAGTTTAAAGGTTTTACTTTTAGCTCTTTAAAAATCATGTAAATTTGAATTGATCCAAGACTCACTACAAAATGTTGCAGCTACAGTCGTACTAAAGGTGACAGATACTTCTGGATGTAGGCTTAGTCCAGGAAAAATCCAGGGAAATGGCTGTAAATGGAATCTTACCTGCCAAACTTGGTTATGCCAAGTTAATGTTTACTGAAGAAAACAGCATTAATCATCATAAAACCCCACATCTACCTGCCTGTCAAAGAGGCCACGCTCCTATAATGTAGCCAGGTTGTAAACATGTTTTTTCTGCTATAAACCTTTAACATAGAAGTCAGCAGGAACTGACTCCTTCAAATAGTTTTTCAGGGTAATTTTTGCCAGTAAAACTCAGACACTAGACCCTGTGGATGCTAA